CACAAGATATAATGTGATCTCAAAGTTCCCATACAATTTCAGGATTTTTATGGAGGAAGCCATTCCATTTGTTACTTTTGAAAAGAGTTTGTTTAATGATATTTTACCATTTTGATTTCTAATTAATTTCTCATTGTCATCCTTAAGGGGGAAATTTTTTATAATTATATATTAAGAGGTTTTAGAACAGCATATTTTAGTGTTAGGAAATTCCTAAATGAGTTTTAATTTTTAAAGAGGAACCATTACTGAATTTGAAAATGGAGGACTATGATTCTGTTGTGTTTTAGTTTTCCAGTTACTAAGTTTCTAGTTGTAACATAATCTTTATATAATGTCCTATTCCACAAAGCTACACTGAAGAGCTGTGATCTACTTTCCCCCCCTACATTATACCAAGAAGGCAAATAAGACTGCTGTCCTAGGTGGAGAAGCCTGCTGAACTCATTTTCCTTCTTAGGAAATGGAGAAGTAGGAGAGGAAACAGGAAAGAACTCTCCCCTTTAAAATGAATTCCAGCTCACCTAGAAGCCAAGTAATACAGAATTGGGATTAAGAGCATGAGCTCTGTACTTAAATTTTAAAAGGCTAGAATAAATGTTGGTTTCTTTAACTGTGACAAATATATTGTGACAATGTGAGATATTAACAAGAAGGAAAATCCTATCAGGAACTCTATACTATCTGTGCAGCTCCTTTGTAAATAGAAAATCATTTGTAAATAAAAGTTCGGGTAGGGGGAGGTGGTGGTGACTTGGCTACAACTCGCTTTACTATGCATTAGCTGGGTTGTACAAATTATTTAACCCCTTTATGTCTCAGTTTTATCCAGCTATAAATTGTCCATATAGAGCTTATGTCAAAATCAGCTTTGAGATTTAAATGACAGTTAATACCAAAGTTAGTGTCTGGGTATTAGTTGTGCCTGGGTTGTTGGGTTTCTTTTCTTTTTATTATTTTTTTTTTTTTTTTAGAATGGGCAACCAATTTATTGTGTAAATTTTCCCTTAAAACACAATAAAAAGTTAAAAGCAAACTGATTAACAAATAAAATGATAAAATATGCTGGCTAGGCTGTGCCTTAGTTTTCACTTATTACTGCATGCCCTGCCAAGGACGGGCAATCAAAGTGTTCAAAGTAAGGTTGTTGTATACTGTCAAGCAGGAATCAAGTCACAACTGACCCTCCAGTGGATTTTCAGAGGCTGGCAATCCCACGGGAGATTGCTCATCTTTCTCTAGGTAGAGCAGCTACTGGATTTGAACCACCTTAGGGTTGGCAGTGGCAACTCCTTACCACTAGACCACCAGAGATTCCTTAAAGGAAGGTTTAATTACTTTAATTTCCCATGTCCTGATTTATCAAACCCTGATCTTCTCAATACCTGTTGAAAGTACAATAATCATAGCAGCCATCAATCCTAACTCCCTTTGGTATAGCTCCCTCTCCACTGAACCTGCATTCAACCAGGCAGCTATGGCTGTAATAGTCTCCCTCTCATCAGCTGTTCATTCCTGCTCTTTCTACCCAAACTCTAGCCTTGCTTCTGCACTAGGGTGCTGTCCACCAGGCTTCCCTGCCTGTTTGTTTCTGTTCCTCCTAATCTCTAATTCACTCTTTCCCAACTTTCAACATTCTTCATTTTCTGTGTACTAAATTCCTCATTCTTTGGCTTTGCCTTGTATTTCTTTCTTCAATTTCTCTTTCCCACTGTATTCCTCACTACTTCCCTTCATACACATTAGATCTTATATGAGATAGGCTTATTGACTTCCTAGGTAGCCTTAGATCAATTATGTTTCTTATCTCTAGGCCTGCTGGCTGCTTTATACTTAGAATGAAGGTACCAGGTACTTCACATGGTTATTCTGGAGATTAAATGAGATAGAGTACTTACTATAGGTAAAAGCATTGAACACATATATGGCCTTTAACATAGAGCAATATACAGCTATAAATATTTAGTGTTAACTAAATTTTCTGCTAAGTTATTAGACTTCTCCTAGATTCAACTTTTTCCCAGCTTTTAACAATAAAAACAGGATGAGAATAGGAAATATAACATCTTCATAACCATAACCTGAGTAAACAGTAGTCATTATTGGTGGTTCACGGTTCTCCGGATGGCACAGTTCATGCTTTCAGCTGTTGGCATAAAACAGTGTAAATACCAGTCTAACAATCAGTGCCTTGGAAGAAAAATCTTGGCAATCCACTTCTGAAATATCAGCTCCTGAAAATCCAATTCTACTCTTACATATAAGAGGGGATCACCAGGAGCCAGAATGGACTTGAAGGGCATAGGAATGTGCACAGTCTATTTGCACACTGTAAAATGAACAAGGACAACATGGGGACGGCCATAACTGACCAATTCACAAAGCGGACCAATTCCCCATTAACAATATCAACAACACAAAATCAATTCCCATGCAGCTCTGGACATGCTCACTAATCTGTGCCAGAAAATTTGGAGGACAGCTGCCTAGTTGATTATGTGGAAGAGATCCATTTGTTCCCATTCCCCAGAAAGGGGATCCAAGAGAATGAGGAAATTATAAAACGACATAATTAATATCACATGCAAGCAAAATATTGCTGAAGGTCATCCAAAAATGGCTAGAACAGTACATTGATAGAGAACTTCTAGAAGTTCAGCTAGATTTAGAAAAGGTCATGGCACTGGGATATCATTGCTGTTGTCAGATGGATCCTGGCTGAAAGCAGAGACTATCAGGCGAATGTCTATTTGTATTTTATTGCCTAATGGCATTTGGCTGTGTGGATCATAACAAACTACAGTTAACAATGAGAAGGGAACCCAAGAACACCTAATTATGTGCCTATGAAACTTAAACCTAGACCCAGAATTTCTTGTCTGAACAGAGCAAGGGAACACTGCATAGTTTAAAATCAGGAAAGGCGTGCATCAGGGCTATATCCTTTCTCCATACTTAGTTGATCCGTATGTTGAGCAAATCATTCAAGACACTAGACTATGAAGAAGAATGTGTCATCATGACAGGAGAAAGACTCATCAACAACCTACATTATGCAGATGACACGACCTTGTTTGCTAAAAGTGAGGAGGACTTGAAACACTTGCTACAGGAGATAACAAACTATAGCCTTCAATATGGATTGCATCTCAACACCAAGAAGACAAAAATCCTTATCACCGGACCAACAGGCAATACCACGATAGATGAAGACTGAAATTGTCAACAATTTCATATTACTTGGATCCACAATCAATACTCTTAATATTAGCAGTCAGAAGATCAAGAAATGGACAAGTCTGCTGTCAGGGACCTCTCCAAAACACTGAAAAGCAATGATGTCAGTTTGAAGATTAATGTGCACCTGATTCAGACCATGGTCTTTTCACTTGCTATGTATCTAACAATTGGACAGTGAATAAAGATAAAAGAAGAACTGACTCCATTGAGTTGTGATGTTAGAGCAGAGTACTGAATATTCTGTAGACTGTTAAAAGAACAAACAGGTATGCCTTGGGAAAGGTGAAGCTTCATCTCATATACTTCAACATGTTGCTAGGAGAAGGTATTCCCTGAAAAGGGATATCATGCTTGGAAAAGTAGAGGGTCAGTGAAAGACAGGAAAACCCTCAATGAGATAGACTGATGGCAGCAAAGGGCTCAAGTGTATCAGAGATGATGAAGATGGCACAGGATGAGATAGGGTTCAGATCTGTTATTTATAGGATCACTATGAATAGAAATTGACTAAGTGGCACACACCTGCATCTTTAACAAAAATTATTGACCTGGTGACCATTAACTATTGGAATTCCAGTCTACAGGAAGACTAAGGTCCCTTCCATCTCTAACTGGAGTTTCCTGAGCTCCCAAACCCTGATTTTTCTCAAATGGGGCATTTTCCCTTTCCATCAGTGGACTCAAGAATATCAGGGATGGTGAGGATGGCACAGGGCAGGGCATGGCTCAGATCTGTTGTTCATAGGGTTACTATGAGTTGCAGTTGACTAGACAGTACCTAACAAAAACAAAGAACCTGCAAACGCACATATCCCATCTTTAAGAATCTCAAAATGAATTCACCTTAGAAATTGGGGCATTTAGGTAGTATTCACTTATACATCTATTCTTCAGTTTAGAATGATAGCCTTCACTTTATTAAGATAGACAGTTACTATTAATTTATTCTGTTCTAGAAATCAATGGAAAAGCCCAACAGTATAAAAAAATGCTGGCATATCACAAAGCTTATTTTAATTTCAAACAAAAGCAATTTTTCACAAGAAACTATGAAACCAAAAGAATAACAAAGAAAATGTCGAAAAATCACAAGTAATTTGAAATAATGTAAATGTCAACAACAACAACAAATCAGGCTTATACTACAAATAATGAAACCAAGACACAACTATGCATTTTGTGGCAATCCTTGGAAAATTGTGTTTCTATTAGTAAACACGTTGCCGCAAATGACGGTAATACATTAAAAAAAATAAAAGTGTTGCTAAGCACGAAAGTGTGCGACAACGTGTTAAAAGCTGGGAGCAAAATGGAATTTTACTGATCATACAATAGATAATAGTTTATACATGTTTTTCTAAAGAGATTCCACACATGATACCGGTATAACATTTAGACACTATGAAAATTACCAAACCATTCAGAACAACTGTACAGACAGACCAAAGGCAAGTTTATTTAAATAAGTAATAATTTAGTCCTGCACAGTGAGTCAGGTTCTAAGTATAAAAATAGATGGTTTAGCAACCAAATATAAGCACCACACAGAAGCTGATTACACAGACACCATCATCACACCTCTGGTAAGATTAAGGCAACATAAATATCTCAAGTAATTTTATGAGACTACTTTACTCATATAATGGTCAGATGTTATCAAAACATCTCAACATAGGCAGAGCCCACAATTATTTCAGTATGAAATCTTCCCTTCAGTTTTCTTGTCAATATGTTAATGTATCTCCTTAAATATTAGATAACTAATCTGGATTGACAAACGGGCTATCAAAGCCACTATCGTGTTGGCTAGCTAGGGGAGCGGCCAATTTTCTTGAGGGCTGCTGATACACTGAAGACGGTATTGCACTGCTAGGTTTTTCAAAATCTGACTTTGATTGATGAGGTGGGTGTCCCAGGGTCATACTGATTTTCCCAGGCTGGCAACATGTGGTTTCTTCTGGAGGATGAACACTCTGACAGTTCACTGATTTAAAAATCATATGATTTTTCTCTGTATCTGAAAGGCAATTAGCTGCTATAAATGGTCTCATTCTAACAGATTCAGTCAGTGTATCCAGAGTTCCTGATGGTCCATTTTTACCTAAGAATGACACCTCATGACTGTTGCAGGGCAAAGGCAAAGTCGCACTATTGGAATTCCAGTCTACAGAAAGACTAAGGCCCTCTCCATCTTTAACTGGAGTTTCCTGAGCACCCAAACCCTGACTTTTCTCAGATGGGGCATTTTCCCTTTCCATCAGTGGACTGCATTTAATTCCTTTTAAGCCAGGTCTTTCACTGGTTGTTAATGTAGATCCTGATTCAGAGAGGCCTGGGGTACATCTAGGTGAGGGTTTATTTCTCAAAGCTCCAAGAAAGGGCTGTGTAGCCGAAGGCAAAAGTGATTCAGAACAGGGATCACTGAGTAGATCTTTCCTCTTGGGCAAAGCCAAGCCTCTTTCACCTTCACAAGGAACAAATTCAGGACCAACATTCACTGGCAAATGGTCTCGATTACTGCAGCTGTAATCCCCAACCTGGAAGTCTGAATGTGACCCTTTGAAATCCATAAACCTTCTGTCTCCAAGTTCTGCATCCTCCAATTGCCTTTGTAAACTGCAAGCAGCTTTCTTCTTAGGAACTTGTTCAAACACTTTTCCAGGGACCATCTTCACACTGCTTGACTTGCTTTCAGCCAAGATGGGTAGATTCTGGTTAACATCATTCCTTGTTGACTTTTCAACTCCACTAAGTACTTCTGAAGTCAGAGGCAGGGCTACTATGTACAAAAAAACAGAAAATTAGGGTGGAAATTAACATTCAAAGAGAAGCAAAATGATTTGTCTTTATTACATGTACATTTTTTAATCATTCTCACAGATACAAATGTTGGATATTTTAAAATGTTCTTTTACACAAATCCATTAATACAGCCTTGCCATTTTGTCTTTGAAATCCAATATATTACATTTACAAACCTGATTTATCATTTAGTAAATATTACAGGGTTTCAAGAGCTAACATTTCCAATCCTGCTCTGATGTCAAGCATGGAATTTCTAGTTGAACCTGTATTGGCTGGAAGAATTCTGCCCATGCATTTATATAACACTATATAGTTTCTTATTAGCTGACAACACTAAACCAGATCATAGACTAAGCAGACAGAGAGATCACACAGAGTCAGAGACATCATAACTTAGAACAGTGTACCTTAGATCTTTAAGTTCATGAAAAGAGTTTGCATCTACTGGGGGACACATTATCCCACCACTTTCTCAGAATCACAGAACTCTCTTCTTGATATTGCCTTTTTATACTCAAGGTTCATAACATCATTTCAAAATTAACACAAGCTATCTTGGTTTTTCTATGAGAACATTCGTTAACATTAGATTTTTTTTATTCTTCAATGATCTCTCTGTTCAAACTTTCAGCAGTTCAAAGCCCATTGACTCACACTGTTGTTGCTATGTGCTATTGAGTTGCTTGTGACTCCTAGCAACCTCATGTACAACAGCCTTGAACCCTGCTCTATCCTGTGCCAACCTTATTGTCTCTGACACACATACCCCCATTACCCCAGTCACTGAATCAGTCCATCTCAGTGAGGGTCATTCTCTCTTGCACTGTCTCCCTCCACTCTCCCCAAAATGATGTCCCTCTCCAAGGAAAGGTCCCTCCTTGCAACATGCCCAAAGTATGTCAGTTCAGAACACTTGCCTACAAGGAACAGCCTGTTTTACCCTCTCCAGGACAAACCTGTTTGTTATCCTAGCAGTCCATGGTATATTCAATACTCTTCTCCAGCAACACAGCTCAAAGGCATCAATTCTCTTTTTATTACCCCTAGTCATTGTTCAGCTTTCTGTCACAACAAGTAATTATGGAGGTTATGGTCTGGACCTTAGTCTTCAGACTGATGTCATCGCTATTGGTTTTCTCTGTCAATTTATTGAATCCTCATCTTTAGACTTCCAACATGTTGTTATTTATTTGTGTCACTTGTTTAAAGTAGCTGGGCATGTGATGGACATGAATGAGCTTCTGAGTAAAAAGATTTACTGGATAGTTGAATTACAGTGTTGCAGAATACTGTATAGCCCATGGACTGCCAAAAGAACAAACAGGTATGTCTTGGAAAAGGTGCAGCCGGAGAGCTCCTTGCAGGCAAGGATGGCAAAATTTTGTCTCTCATGTCTGGGACATGTTGCTAGGAGAGGCTATTCCTTGGAAAAGAACATCACACTTGGAAAGGTGGAGATTCAATGAAAGGAAGACCTTCGTCGAGTGACTGCAGCAACAGGCTCAAGTGTAGCAGAGATTGTGAGGATGGCACAGTATAGGACAAGATTCAGTTATGCTGTTCATAGGATCACCCTACTTGACTCAATTGCAACCTCATAACAAGGCATGTGGGCTCCCAGTTCTGTCCTGTGGGGGCTGGCCACCTTAAGCACCTGCCCCATTCCTCGTCTCTGTTCCTGGTTCTATTGCCCAGCTCATTATTAAGGCTGGAGAAGTGAGAGGAAAATAGAGGGGGCTCACCAGTTTCCAGTGCTGTAGAATATGAACTCATCACTCTGTTAGTATTCCTTGGACCCCATACTTCTCCTAGAACATTCAACATTCACACATGGAACAGTACTGATACTGCTCCTACTTGCACCCACCATCATCAGGAGGTTTTGAACTGAGATTTTTTTTCTTCAATCCTATACTGTCTTCCAAGCTTTCTCACAGCTTCTGATCTGACAGGTACGTAATTTTTAAACTGAGTTATAGACTGTTCTTCTTTTTCTCTTTTGTTCTTCGATTTTTTTCTTGCTGTTTCTTATCATTTCTAGGGATTTGGCAAGAACAGGAGCTAAGTCTGCTTACTTGAACCAGAAACTATATTCTTTTTTGTTCACTTCTCATTTAAAACACTTTTATCGACTAACTTCTTACCTTTCCTGGTCTTTTTCATACTTAAAAGATAAAAATAACAAAAAAGGGAGCAAGACTCCTTTTAACCTACCACACTGTGTAGTTTTGCTCTGAGTTCTTTTAGAAACAGGAGTTTCCAGTAATTTTGCCATTGTAGCAAGCTTGCTAGCAGTATTCATAATCTTTTTATCAGCTCTGTGGGGAATTCCAGAATATTAAATTAATATAGTTGAAGGGGGGAAAAATTCTCTTCTTAGTCCCAGGATTTCCGTTTTACTATTAGCTCTGCCAGCATTTAGAGTAACACCACCCTTAAGAGTTAATGTTGTGATTAAGATTGAAAGGGGTGTACAAAAAGAAAAAAGAGAGGTAGAAAATGACAGTATTATGTCCTGAGACTCTAATGACATACCATTTAGACTTAAACTTACCCTTCCTGTTTTCCATTATCCTGTAAAATCTGCTGGAGGCAAATCAAGTAATATTTGCGCATCTTTCGGGCAGTTTCTTGCCGTTCTCGTAACACTTCTGCTTTCACCATTTCAGCTGCTCTTTCCTTACTCTCCTGGATATAAAGGAGCATATCACCTATAGGAGGTTACGGGAGGAGAGTGTAAAAATGTGCAAAAAATGACATATTTTTTAGAAATAGGAGAGGCAAACTTCAGAACAATATTTTTGAGGTGATAGAGACACTGGAAGTATAGCCTAAACATTATGGCTCCTTGCAATAATGAGAACGGAGTATTTTAAAGAACTGTTTAAAAAAAAAAAAAAAAAAAGAACTGTTTTGTTTTCAAAGGAGAAGCCATCTATGAGTGCTTCTGAAAAGACAGCAGCCATGAGACACAAAAGCTCGTGCATTTCAATTACACATTGTCTCTCTCCAGTTAGAAGAAGAGGATAAAGAAATATAAAGAAAAGGTGAGGCAGAAAGAAACAGCAAAAGCAGACACCAAAAGACAAAAGGGAGAAGCACCATGAGCTGAACACTCATCTTCTGCTGTTCACTTGTGCGCTGAAAAGCTATGTGTCGTCACTTACATGTATTCAGCAGCACTTTGTGAGTAGTTAACTAAATATAATTCATGGAAATATGCACAAAGTGCTAATGTAGGGCAACAGATGAAACTTGTCATTTGAAATTTAAAGAGTTTACAGATTTCAAGTTTTCCTTTTTAATTCAACCTGTTTTTATGGAGCCATTAGTTGAAGATCTACCTTCTATCAAATCCAGGGCTACATTCTACATCTAGAATTTCACGACTTCTGCTACATTAGGAATATCAATCTATAGAGCAATCTTTCCCTTAAAGTCAGGAAACTTTCTGAAAATTAGACAACTATAAGAATGCTTTGGGATTTGTCTGTGTGTTTGTTATTGTGATTTTAATGAAAGTTTACAGAAAGAATGAGTTTTCACTCAGCCATTGATACACATTTTCCTCCCTCCCTTTTTCTCTTATTCTTCCACCCACAGAATAAAGTTTTGATCAAAGTTTCAATCATCTGTTCATATGTCTGTGATGAGTTGGATTCAATTCAACAGCACCCAACAAGAACAACAATGTAAAAATATTAAGAAGCTAGTTTCTATATAGTTTTCTCTATATAAACAGGTTATTTTTGTGTGTATACCATCAAATTGGATCTGACTGATACAGGAGGAGATTACCTCTCCTTCTCCAGCAAAGCATCTGGCGGATTCAAACCTCATACCTCTGGAATTGCAGTGCAGCTTCTTGCCACTAGGCCACCAGAGCTCCAAACTCGCTCAACGTTTCTTAAGCTGAAGGAGTTGAAAAACAAATTCAAGCCACGGGTGGCAATACTTAAGGATACTTTTGGTAGAATGTTAAATGATCCAGGAAGTATCAAGAGAAGATGGAAGGAATACACAGAGTCACTGTATCAGAAGGAATTGGCTGACACAGAAGAATTTCATGAAATAACATATGAGCAAGAGCCTATGGTGATGAAGGAGGAAGTTCAAACTACTTTGAAGGAAATGGCAAAAAACCAGGCTCCAGGAGTTGACAGCATGCCAATTGACATATTTCAACACAGAGATACTGCCCTGTATGTGCTCACTAAGTTGTGCTAAGAAATCTGGAGAACAGCCAGCTGGCCCACTGAATGAAAAAGATCAATATCTGTTCCCATTCCAAAGAAAGGTGACCAAAGAGAGTGTGGAAATTATTGAACTATATCATTAATATCAAATGCAAGCAAGATTCTGCTGAAAATGATCCAAAAACATTTTGAACAATATGTCAACAGAGAACTGCCAGATGTGCAGGCTGGATTTAGAAGAGGTCACGTTACTAGGGATATTATAGTTAATGTTAGATGGATCTTGGCAGAAAGCAAAGAATACCAGAAGAATGTCTATCTGTGCTTCATTGACTATGCAAAGGCTTTTGACTGTGTGGATCACAACAAACTGTGGCTGACTCAGAAGAATGGGAATCCCAGAACACTTGATTGTGCTAATGTGAAACCTATACTTGGACCAAGAGGCAGTCGTCAGAACAGAGCAAGGAGACACTACATGGCTCAAAATCATAAGGGGGTCCGTCAGGGATGTATTCTGTCTCCATACCTTTTCAATCTGTATGCAGAACAGATCATCCGAGATGCTGGGCTGTCTGAGGAGGAATGTGGCATCAGGACTGGTGGAAGAATCATCAACAACCTGCGTTATGCAGATGCTACAACCCTGCTTGTTGAAACTGAGGAGGACCTGAAGCACTTGCTGCAGAAGGTCAAGGACTGCAGCCTCCTATATGGATTGAAGCTCAACATCAAGAAAACAAAGATTCTCACCACTGGGCCAATTGGCAGCATCAGTATGGATGGTGAAGAGACTGAGATTGTTAACAGTTTTAGTTTACTTGGCTTCACAGTCAACACTCTTGGTAACAGCAGCCAGGAAATCAAGAGATGAATTGCATTGGGAAAGTCAGCTGTGAGTGACCTCTCAAGAGTACTGAAGAACAACAATGTCAGGCTGGTACGCTTGATCCAGGCTAGTCTTCGCAATTAGGTGCTATGCATCAGAGAGTTGGACAGTGAATAGGGATGATAGAAAGAAAATTGATGCCTTTGAGCTGTGGTGCTGGAAAAGTGTGTTGAATATACCATGGACTGCTAGGAGAACAAACAGGTCTGTCCTGGAGAAAGTGAAGCCGGAATGCTCCTTGGAGTCAAGGATTCTGAAGCTTTGTCTGACATACTTTGTTTGGGCATGTTGCAAGGAGGGACTGGTCCTTGGAGAGGGACATCATGTTTGGCAGAGTGGAGGAGCAGAGCAGGAGAGGAAGACCTTCAATGAGATGGATCGATTCTGTGACTGGAGTGGTGGGAATGAGTGTGTTTGGGATGGCTAGGTTAGCAAAAGATAAAACGGCATTTAGGGCTCTTGTACATAGGGTCACTATGAGTCACAAGCGACTCAATGGCAAATAACAACAACAACAATATATAAAAAGTAGTCATTTTAGTGGTAGATATGTAGTATCTATCTCTCTATCCACTACTAAAATACACACAAGTATTTATAATTTAATCTACCTTCTAAATAATAATAAAGAGAACAATCTATAGCTTGATCCATTTCTACAGTCTTTAAAAGTTTATGGCAGCCTGGCTCCCGCTCCCAATAAGTTGATTCCAAGTTATGGTGACTTCTTATGTGCTAAAGCACAACTGTACCCCAGAGTTTTCAATGGCTAATTTTCTCTGTAGTAGATCACCAGCCCTTTCTTCAGAGGTGTTCTGGGCATACTTCAGCCTCTAAACTTTTGGTTAGTAAACTAAGAATATTAACCTTTTTGCACTACTCAAGGACACAAAAAGTTTATGACAGAAAGTGATAACTGCTAATTTAAAACTCATGTGGCACTTTCTTTGATAAATGTTATTTAAATTGAAAAATATTAAACATTTAGGTTAGTAATGTCATCTAATTAAAAAATTTATATTACAGTCAATAACAGAGACACATCTCTACCTTTAAGTTACTTCAATCTCTTGTAAGAGCAGGTAAGATCCCAGGACAAGGTAGTGTGGCAAACTCCCTGACGTACTGTTGCTGTGTGCTGTCAATTCCAACTTACAGTAATGCTAAAGGACAAAGCAGAACTGCCACTCATACAATCTCCGAGGCTACAATCTTTATGGAAGCACACTGCTACATCTTTCTCCCATAGAGTAGCTGGTGGTTTTGAACCACTTGTAACTGAGCAATTAAACCATGCCGGTAACTCTTTGAGTTTATGTAGAGCAAAACTTTAAAAACTGTGCTGATAAACTCTTGAGTTTATGCAGAGCAAAAACAAAACAAAATTTCTTAACCACCCTTAAAAATCTTCAGAATGTCTCTAGGGACTTACGCTTAATTTTTTTCACAGCTTTAAGGTACTGCCCACGAAGCTCTTCCAAGGCCCTCCCATTGCAAAGCATGCAAGCATTTTCAGCAGCCCCTTCTGACAAAGACCTAAAATCAAATAAAAAATCGCAAAAACAGAAATTATAAGTGAAAAACTAGATATGCAGCCATACATTCTAAGAGTGTAATAATAGAAATGTGTTAGAAATGTCATATACAACTTATTTAAAATATAATAAAATGGAAACAACTTAAACATTATGATTGCTTATATAAATTCATGATAAATTCACAAGATTAAGAACTTTGCTTCTACTGAAAAGCATACAATAGGAGAGTATCTAGTGACCTAAGAAAATATCTGTCTCATAATATTGTCTTCTAAACCTACAAAAAACCCAAAATTGCTACAAAATAGTTTATTTAGTCCCAATTTTTTAAATACATATGAATATTTATGTGAATGTATAAACGACATATATGTGCACATAATATAAAATTATATAACTGACATGAAACAAGGTGTTAGCAGAACATATCTTCTGAGAATAAAGCTTTAGAATTTTTTTTCCTTTTTAGAAAACTTTTTATTATATAACAGTAGAAATGATATTTCATTTTAAAAATTGGGCTATAAAGGTTTCATTCTTTTTATAATAGTAAAAGTCTACCTTGGTGGAGCTTTACCAAGTGTTCTCAGCTCTTTCAATTTATTCTTCATATCATTGTTTTCTTCTAGTAATTCTTCCACAACTTTGCTATTCTCTTCTGTAAAAAAACATTTATAAGTATAAACTTATAGTTTATTGAACAGTTTATTACTTTTCCACTGGTTTTCCTTTCCCTTAAGACCACCGCAAATGTTTATAGGAGACTGAACAATTTTGATTAATGGCCTGTGTCATTCATTCTCTGATGATCAACACTGCTGTTGGATCCCTTCCTTGTTCTTTTTTTTTTGTTGTTCAGGTCATAAAATCTGTGCTTCATTTCCATTACTTACTCTGGACTGCACACCACCCTGGAGTTGGCTTCCAATTATTTCAGAGGCATGTGTTTTCTTTTCCAGCTAGACTGAATCTCTATAGACATGAGTATTCTAATTACAGATCCCTTAATGGAACTTGGTATACAGTCAAGGTTCACTGAATCATGTTTTATCATTTCACCAAATCATCAGATAGGCATTTAAATATCAAATAAAAAGAAAATTCAGCCTAAGTATGAATTAATATGATTTCCAATTCTTTAGATTTTAACAATATGGACTATAGAGTTCATGTAATGTAGGGGGAGAAACCCCAACACACATGAATTTTAAAAGTTAAGAAAACAGAAATCAAAATCCCAGCTCGGCTTCTTCCCAGCTCGACAAGTCCAGGCACATCATTCAACCATTCTGAACCTGAGGTTTATACTTTGGGCATATTGCCAAGAGTACTAGTCTTTAGAACAGGAAGGACATCATGCTTGAAAGGGTGGAGGGACAGTGCAAGAGACTCTGGATGAGATGCACTGACATAGTAACTGGGGTAATTGGGTTAGGTGTGTCAGAGACAGTGAGATTGGCTCAAGATAGAGCTAGGTTCAGAGCTGTTGTACTTAGGATTGCTATGAGTTGCCGATGACTCAATGGCACATAACAACAATAAAATTAGTACAGTATTACCTGCACAGATTGTACTAAAGGGGGGGGGAAATGTACACTTTATATAACCTGACAGGACTCTCATTCCATAACCTAAGTATGGTGCTCTGTTCTCTATCTCAAATACATCACTTAAGTTAGAATGAACTAACCCCTCCTGGCAATTGATATAGTTTGTATATTTTTACTCTCTGAACTTTTCAATAAATGCTACCAGCAAAATCAAAGATGAAATTTCAGAGAGAAAAACAAATCAGAAAAAGCCATTGTTTTAAAAGAAATTATCTTCAAAAGGTTACTTCTTTCAAAACTATGGATTACTTCCAAGTGTGCAATATGAGATTCAAAAGTAACATTGGAAGACCAATTTTATGAACACAATGTAGGTAATGAATATTATTTCTAAATAATAATTATATCAAACCACCCTCAATTTTATTACATAACACAAATTTTCTTAGTTTTTATAACATTTTAGAATAGTACGCTTCTAAAGCTATTTGCATCTACATTGCAATTACTGTGCCCTTGTTATTTGTCATTGAGTCAGAACTAACGTATAGCTGACCCTCCAGCAGGCTTTAAGAGCCTGTAAATCACATGGGAGAAGACTGCTCATCTTTTGCCCATGGAGAAGCTGGTGGATTTGAACCACATGTCTTTGGGTTGACAATATTTCTTACCATTGAGCCTCCAGTGCTCCCTATACACATGGAAGTTTGAACAAAAAAATATTTTTTCCCCCTCAGGGTGTCTACTAAAGAGTAGTCACAAGCATAGTAGATTACACAGTAGTGACACATTTTATTACTAAGTTCTTAATGCTTTTAGGAAAAAATGTGCATTTGAGTGCATGCTAAGTCAGGTACTAGACTAAGAAGTGTTAGAGCAGGACTTGATCCTGGTTGTCAGAAGTCTACACTTCAAAGGGCAAGCCAGATGATAACGACAATGGCAATTAGTTATAATAAGCACAGAAGTTATGAAGTGTTTAATAGGAGAACCCAACCAAGTCTGGTGTGCTCAGGAAAACCTCCTGAAAAAGTAGTGTATTAGGGAAAAGATGAGGAGTTAGTTAAGCATTGAAATCAGAATAGAAAAATAGGTGTCCAGGTAAAGGGCACAGGACAAGACACTGAGACACAAGAAGCAAGCTTGAGAGAATAAAAAAGCTGGGGGAACAGTAAGTTTGGAGGGGCTGGCAGTCACGAGATCATGACTGGCTTTCTTTTTTTAGCCATATTAAATCCAGTGTTTGGATTTCATACTGAGAACCAGAGCAAGGCACTGAAATCATGATTCTAATTACTTATATACAATTGATTGGAGGGGCAAGATTGGAAGCTAAAAGACTCAAGAAGTAATTGTTATTTCCAGGCATGACAGAGTCTGAAGGTAGGAAAAAAGGAAATCTATTCGCTCTGTCTTTCTTGAATGATGCAATTATTTGAGATTGTAGACTTCAATCCTTTATTCATGGGTAATGTGTTACAAGGATGAACAAAAAGAAAACAAAATCCTTTATCCTCAGGAATTTGTTTGGAAAGGTTATCAGGTAAATAAAAATACAGAAAGTTAAAATACAGAATAGTACACAATTTGTAATAGAGTAAAGAGAAGGAGAGCCAAGTGTTAAGAGGTCACAGAGAGAAACCAACCAAACCCAAAATGAGAAACATCAAGGAGGGCTTTGAGATGAGGTGTTTTCTAAGTGGAATCTTCAGGACGAAAATGTGTCATGCAAGACAGAAGTGGGAAGGCAAAGTGTAGAACAAGGGGACAACATTATATGCAAGAACAAGAGGCAAAGAAAATATCACCAGTTCAGGGATCTTCAATGAAATATCTGAAGAAACAAGGAGTCTCACAAGCAAGAGTCTGCCTTTTATCCCCTTATTTTTTAAGGGCTACAGGTAATGGCAGAAGCTATGCCTTTTGGACTGATCACTCTGGCATCACTGTGAAGAATAGACTAGAGGGAGGTCAGACCAGACCCAAATATCTTTGCTCATGGCTTTTCCTTCTGATTAAAATGCTATTCTTCTCTTTGGGAATCAGATCTATATTTCAAGATTTCACTCTAACATAAGGAAGAGTTTCTTTCAAGTCCACACAAACATTAGTAGAATGGTACTAACAGAGTAGCACTCAATGATGTGTGTATTAATCTTCTGTCAGACTAACTTGAGGATAAGCTTCTTGTAGGAAAGGAACACAATCTTTTCCATCTTCATGACAAGTGGAATTTTGTCTGTTTTATTAAATGCTATATCTCCAGTGCCTAAAGTACCACTTCACACTTTCCAAGCCCTCAATATCTTCTCAATCAAGAGAGGACAAAAGGAATGTGAACTATTAATCACAGCTGAAAAAGGTTCTCTTTTGAGGTAAGTAATAGTCAGTTCATTAGTGAAAATAAAGTCCAAATTGGTTTACATACATTTCAAAGAAGAACTAAAACGTTACATTTGAAAACTTTCAATAGGCATCAAAGAGACTGACGCTGGTAGCAGGGCTACCTGAAATGCTAACCTCCGATTTTCTCCACCACAGCTTTATGCTTCCTTTCTAAGTGTTGAAGGTGCCTACAGCTCTTCTCCAACCTTCCTTTCAGATCTTGACATTCTTGCTTTGCCTTTTCAAGTTCTTGGAGACAATGTCCACAGCATGAATCTCTAATTTCAAGCTTTTTCTCATCTGTGAAAATTAAATGATAGCAAACTTCCGCATCATTTGGAACAACACCTAGCAAGCAAAGCAAAACAAAAGCAAAAAAGGCAAGAAGAAAAAAAAAGCCAGATGACATGACTCAAGGCCACTCTGTAACGGATGTTTGACATAGGTCTGTGTTTAAATGCTGTTTAAATTATTTACTAGCTTTGTGACTTGGCATGTGACTTAACCTTCATGAGGTCTAGTTTTAAAAAAATGTAAAGTCAAATAATACTTTAAAAACTGCTGTGGCTCTGGTGGTATAGTCTAGAGCTTATTGCATTGCTGACCCAATGCCTGTGTATCTCTGGCAGTTCAAACCCACCAGCTACTCCAGGGAAGAAACAGGGGAATCTCCTCCTGTTGTGATTCACAGTCTTTGAAACCCAATGGAGGGTCACTATGAACTGGAATCAACATATCAGCAGTTGAGTTTTAGTAGAGTTTTGAAATCTAGTATTAGACCTTAGTACTATCATACCCTACTAGTAGAACCCAGCGAGCTTCAAGAAATGGCCAATATCATGACAAGATACGTATTATGACGAAACTAGAACATCTTGTAATGCGAGCACATGAAAGTATTTAAAAGTTCAGACTTGTTATAAGGTAATAGGAGCCAGCTTAAGGAGCTCTTACTGTAGATATTTTGAGACATTTGACCACTAATTTGGTAGTAAAATATAATAGCATTGAAAAAATAGCAATTAATCTCTAACTTGGAACTGAAACCACTCCCCCTTAACTGAATAACAAACATTAAAACAAACATGCCCATGACCAATGTGCTCCTTAGAACAATCAACCATACAGACCACAGGGGCAGCAATTACCCAAAAGCAGAGATGAGAAGGCAGGAGAGGGCAGGGGAATCAGAAAGACAGAAATCAGGAACCCAGAGTGAAAATGGGGAGAGTGTTAACACATTGCAAGGATTGTAACCAAAGTCACAGAAGCACATGCACATGGATAATTGAATGGAAAAGTAAACTTGGAGTGAGCTCTGGTGGCCTAGTGGCAAGAAGCAGCACTGCAATTCCAGAGATGTGAGGTTCAAATTCACCAGCACCAGATGCTCTGCTGAAGAAGGAGGGACAATCTCCTCCTGTACCAGTCAGATCTGATTTGACGGT